TCCATCCATCCATCCATCCATCCATCCATCCCTGTTCCCTTCTTCCCTTAACACTTAATGATAAATAATTATTATTAATAAAACTTACACATTAAGTTTTCCGGAGATGTTTTGGCGGGCTTCTTACTGACTACTTTCTTTCCCTTAGTGTTCGGCTTGGTCGGTTTGGTCGTTACAGCAGGTTTGGGCGTTGCTGCATAAAACAAGGTAACATGTAATTAAATGAATAATAATGATGACGTTATAGCGGCCATCTTGGATGACTTGGAAGATTTGGTCTCGGATTCTTTTGTTATGTCATCCAACATGGCGGATAAACCTTTCTTTTTAGTAACAAGGAACGTAGAATAATAAAGCAAATTTTCATAAAGTCATTTGTAATTTTTAAAGGTGCAATAGATTATTCGTTGACAGTGACGTTATAGCGGCCAAGTTGGGGGTATGTAACAGAAAACCACCAACATGACCGACTCTTCTTCATTGTCTTCTGTCTCTCCTATTAGGAATTACTGCAATCCATCAATAGTAACATCATTACATATCGCCGCCATGTTGGTGGTATGTAGCAAATGACCACCAACTTGGCTGCCATGTCCATATCTTTTAGATTCTCCGTAAAAAATGATTGCAATTCATGAGTAGTAATATCATTACACATCGGTCGCCATGTTGGCGGTATTTAGCATAAGAACTCCAACATGGCTGTCATGTTTCTTTCTTTTGACTTTCCGTAAAAATGATTGCATTTCACAAGTATTAACATCATTACGAATCGGTCGCCATATTGGCGGTTTGCAGCAAAAGACCTCCAAAATGGCCGACTCGTCTTCATCAGGTCCTCTTACTCTCTTCAAAAGGAATAACTGTAATCGTGTAAACCGTCATACTAAGATCCTTGACAACAATAGTTTATAGAAGGCCGTTCGTTCTAACTTACTAATAGGTTCAACCCTGTAGACAAACACGGTATTTCCATTTCCAACACAGTCAGCCTTTGATTTACAAGGTGTAGCATTCCAAGTGTTGCAATCTTTTAATGGGGCTGTGCCTTCCTTCGCGTACAGGTTACCAGTTCTACATTCACCTGAACAAACACAGATGCATAAATTCACGTTCATTATCTTGACCACCCACAACTCGTACGCCAGCCTTGACGCGGTTTTATCGAATGAATTGCATAGGAATCCGTGGCGGTGGGGCCCTGTGCACCTCTTGGGTTCGATTCCTGGACTAGCATCACGTCTGAGTAGAATTATTAGTTCTCTATCTTGATTCAAGGGTTTTTCTCTGGGTTCTACGGATTTCTATCACTCGGAAACCCAGGGGTGAATTTCAGTTACACGCTCCCAAGTTCCCGAGGATGACGGTTTTCCTCTCCCCGCAAAACCCAGCACGCTAAATTTGAGTGAGCACTGCCCTAACTTAGATCAACTCAGAGGTTGTTTCAGGGTTCAATCTGTGAGTTAGCTGTGCCCTGACTTAGATCAGCCCAGAAGTTGTTACAGGGCTTGATCTGTGAGTTAGCCATGCCCTGACTTAGATCAGCCCAGAGGTTGTTTCAGGGCTTGATCTGTGAGTTAGCCATGCCCTGACTTAGATCAGCCCAGAGGTTGTTTCAGGGCTTGATCTGTGAGTTAGCCATGCCCTGACTTGGACCAGCCCAGAGGTTGTTTCAGGGTTCAATCTGTGAGTTAGCTGTGCCCTTACTTAGATCAGCCCAGAGGTTGTTTCAGGGTTTGTTAAAATTAAGTTTCTTAAAATTCATTTGAGGCCCTTACCCACATTCCTGATTCCAACTACGTTAGATTTGCCTCTTTTTGCTACACACTGACAAACCACAGACTTGAGGTGATCGTTCCATTGTCGATAGTTTACTTTTTTGGTGAAGATTAAGTTTGGCATGGAAGCTTTAGGATTCGCAGACTTAAAGCAGTTAAGTCGAATCAGTTTTACACCGGGACAAGCTAGAAGCAAAGAGAAAAGAACCTTGGTGAATTGTTAGGCATTGATTGTGGCTGCTATATGCATGTTTATGTATTTTACAGGTAGCTTAAAACTTAAACGCGCATTATCTAGGATTTCTTTTTTCTTTTCGAATTGTTCTGTTAGCTCATCTTCTAGAATAACATGTTTTTTTAATTATTTTTATTGGTTAATAAATTAAGGACCATACTTCCAGACATCGAGTGCTGAACCGTCGTATGGCAGCGCGAAGCATTTACGGCTACGCCGAGGATTTCGACCCCGACACCGCTATCCTAAGATTTACAGACTGATCAGGAAGCTCGGCCGAAGCCTAAGGGAGAGGTTAGTCGGCCCCTAGACCGTAATTAATTAACCCCTTCCTATGACCAGCATACTCAAAATTTTGACTGTGATGTTGATGGCTTTGAGCACATTCGTACTACTTTCCATGTGGGACGCATTTTGAAAAAGTAGCCGTGACGCAACTCTTATCCTTTGAAAGGATGACTTTGAAAAGACGCATTTTTCACAATCCTGCGCGTTGAAAGCATAAAGTATAAAATCACATATCAACGTGAGCATGCGCATGAATCATAGTTACCTATTGGCTTATTCTGACCTATGGAAAAATGAAAAATATTGTATTTAGTAAACTATTATCGTATTTTCGAGTTAAGGACGTATGCAATTAATATGTAGGACAGTACTTTAAGGGACTCGGCAACAAGAGTGTTACATTCATTCTTCTCACGTGTCAAGTCACGTGTCTGATCACGTGACCATATTTAAGTTACAATAATCAATGCTCGCAAATTTATTCTTCTCACGTGTCAATTCACGTGTTTAGTCACGTGACCAAATTATATGCTATTAAAACTTACCATAGGCATATGTTGCCATGGCTACCAATAGCCAAACAACGAGAGTAACCATCTGTAATGCGAATGAAGTTTAAAACTGTTAGAGTTCGTTTGCGGGGACATGATCAAAACCATAGCCCGGCTCGCTGCCACACAGCAAGCATGCATGGTATGGTTCGTTTATGGTAACGGCAACCCAACGGCTGAACTCGAGCTCGCCTAATAATATTTCTGTGTTGCAATAGATGGGTCTTTAGGATAGCGGGAATGAACTCGGATGACTATGGAATGACATAGTCGTGGAACGGACTTGAAGAGCACATTTTGATTGGATGAACAGTGATTTATCACGTTTTGATTGGTTCATACTTTGAACCAATTAAAGCCAGCGAAGTCACTTTTTATCCAATCAAAATTCTCGGACACGGTCCCTCCACTGAGTCATATGAAATATGCCATTTTTGAATTCATACGATACCACTGTTTAAAGTAAAGAATAATATAATAAATAAACAAGATAAACACGTTGAACTTCCACAAACCTCCATTGGAACACATAAATGTTGTATGCGAAATCGAGGCTATGAGTAATCGAGAACTTGAAAAAACTCGAGTATTTGCTATATTTTGTCTCATAAAAAAATGTTTAGAAAGAATGGTGATTTTGGTTTTAGATTCCTGTGACACATATTTCCTCTTTTCCCTCATGGCTGAATGAACAATATCAAACAGCAAAACAAACTCGATTATATTCAACTTAGATTACTAAATAACTATCTAACAATATCGTCACCTAACGAGCGATTATAATATAATTAAATAGGTTTGATAGTAAAGTAAAACACTATAAGGGTCAAAATACCATTGCAAACATTAGGTACTTAACCTCTTTAAGAATTAACATCTAATATTAGACGGCACACCATTATATCAGTGAAAAAGTTAACTGACAAAATTGTACAAATTAGCGCAAAGTTTTGTAGGTCTACGCTCTACAGAGGTCTACTGAACTTACTAATTTGTACGAATTTGTGCAATTCCTTACGAAGTTTATATACGAATATATATTGCATTTACATCATGGAAACATTATACAAAGACTGAAAAACTACTTGTATATTATCATAGTTTGAGATAGAGGATTCTATAGTGGTAATATAAGAGTTTGTAAAAGTTAAAATACCTTTTTCTGTGCTTAGTAGTTCAAAAAAAACCAAAGCCAAATCAACGAATTTTCTTGGCCGTGTTTTTGATGCTGTAATACTGACAGGTGATCCCTCGCTTACTCACGTAGTTAGTATTGTAAATAAACCAATCAGATTGTAGCTTGTTCCGATGTTTATAGCAAAACAAGGCGGGTTGTTTATACAAGACAAAAACAACCCTCAGTACACAGGTAGCCCAAACAGGGTTTCTGTGTATGGTTTATCCTCTACTTTCACATCCCCATAATCCTTTGCGTCTTTGGGGGGTAACCAGAAGGTAAAGACCCACTTATTTTGCTGAAGGCTGATCAGACAATGTTGAAAATACCTTGTTTGGTATCCAAAAATAAAATGAAGAAATAAAAAACGGAAAAAGATAGAAGCTTGAAGACGCTTGAGGTAAATTTTAAACATTTGTTCGTAAGTCAATACATTTTCTGTAAGACCAAAACTCTTGATGATCTGTGCACGCAAAAATAACTTGGAATAAACTGATAATCATTATTGTACAGATAAAAGCAGGTATAGTATAAATTCAATTAAGAAACCTTTCAATTTGGGACAGTTTTTTGATTGGTTACCCCCCCAAAACGCAAGGCATTATGGGGATGTGAAAGTCGAGAATAGAGGCTTTGTATCATCATGTGATGGCAGCCATGACAGAAGGCAGGAAAATTGAATCTGGTCTAAACTAACTTACATGAGAAAGAGTTCAGTTAAAAAAAATTCCCAGGCGAAAGAGACTATTGTTGTGCCTCATGTCATTGGCTGCCATCACGTGACGGTGCAAACTCTCTATATGAGAGTTAGGATAAAGATACGGAACAATATGTTTTATTGAACAATTTGCTGTAAAACTTGTTGCTGTAGTTGTTTGTACCTTGGCAATAAGCGCATGTGACGAGTGTCTTAGATCTCTCCCGTGATGCGAGGCGGGTTTATCTCCGAGTTCACCGGTTTTCCTTTCTCAGCAAAACCAATGCAGCCAAAGTTAAATTACAACTCGTGCCTTGACTTAGATCAGCCCAGAGGTTGTTTCAGGGTTTGATCTGTGAGTTAGCCATGCCCTGACTTTAATCAGACCAGAGGTTGATTCAGGGTTCTATCTGTGAGTTAGCCATACCCTGACTTAGATCAGCCCAGAGGTTGATTCAGGAAATCGATAAAAAGCGAAGAAATGGCAGGTTATGAAATATTACCAAAATCATTACCATAGTTACCATTATTATTTTTATTAAGAATTTTCAGCAGCGATCTTCAAAGAGAGAGTCATTCAAAAACTTACATCGAAAACCACTTATTATTATTCTTACACAAGTTAATCATTATTTACGCATAGGCCTTTTCAGAGATAGCGAACATGGTGCATTGTGGTCTAGCTTGAGTACAAACATTTTCCAACTATGGTATATGGACCTTATCATTCCTTAGCAAGACGTTTTCATAATGGCGTTATTTGACTACAACTACCAGAGTCCCTTGCACACTTTTTTGTTCAGTTAATTACCACCAATTTTCTTAATATTCTCAATGAATTATGAATAAGTGATAGGACTCAAATAGCGCCATCATGCAAACGTTTTATTGGCTTTAAAATAAAAATATTTGTTTAATCACGCTTTACATAATCCTGAATTTCGCTTGAATGCGAGGCAACGTGGAGGAAATCTATTGTTCCAGTTAACATGGCAGCCACGTGCTAAAGGTCCATTCATTATTTATACCCAAGCTAGACCACAATGCATTATGTTTAACACCATATAAGGCATGAGGAACAAAAGACGTTTGTACCCAAGCTAGACCACAATGCATTATGTTTAAAAACCTTGGGCCTCGTTTAGATTAGCCAAAACCGCTCGTTTATGGTGACTCTTGGCTTTGGTCTTCCTGGTAAGTTTAGAGCGGCAACATGCAATAGTACAAGCAGGATAGCATGTAGTAGGGCAAGAAAACACAGGACATGTTGGGTATGTGATGGATTGGGGTACTTGGTAAGATGGCATCTGGTATGGTATTGGTACATAAGGTATGCTAGATCCCGAAGGAAAATGGAAGGGGAAACTTTTTGCTGGTTTTGCTGTCGTTGCCGAGGGTCTCGAAGAAGGTTTAGTTTGGCTCCCTGTGCTTTTTGCAGTACTTGTACCAGATCCCGAAGGAGAAGGGGACGGGAATCTTTTTGCTGGTTTTGCTGTGGTTGTTGAGGGTTTCGAAGAAGGTTTAGTTGGGCTCCCTGTGCTTTTTGCAGTACTTGTACCAGATCCCGAAGGAGAAGGGGGCGGGAAGCTTTTTGCTGGTTTTGCTGTGGTTGTCGAGGGTTTCGAAGAAGGTTTAGTTGGGCTCCCTGTGCTCTTGGGAGTACTGGTGGCAGCTCCCGAAGGAGTGTGGAACGGGACATTTTTTGTTGGTTTTGCTATTTTCTTGGTTGTCAAAGGTTTCGAGGAAGGTTGAGTTGGGCTTCCTGTGCTTTTCGCAGTGCTTGTTGCAGAACTCGTTGGTAGTGGTTTATCTTTGAAAAAAGAAATTTCTTTTTCAAAAAAGTTATTATTGTCGTCGTTGCACGTAGTATCTTATGAATCGATTAATGAATAACTCCCTCAGAGTCTTTTCTGAGATGTCCAAATTTTTAGTGAGAAATTCATGTCGGTACAAAAAATCCTCATGCGATATAAGTGAATCTAAAATGATAAGGTTCTTGTGGATTTGGCGGGAAAATTTTGGCGCCAAAACGCGCGCGCTCGCCGGCCCTTTCCAGCTTTAGACACTGGGATGTATAGAAACAATAAATCGATTCCATATTGAAATATTTTGTACCTTTGACTTTATACACAAAGTTAGTGTTGTCTTCACCAATGCAGTCCAGTCCTTTCTTACATGGCTTTCCTTTCCATGTTATGCAGTGAGTAGAAGGTCCGTTTCGGTTAAAATTCTGAAATGTGATTATGTTTCTTCCTGACCAGCATTCACCTTTATGAATAATAGACCGTTCATGAATAGAGATGTTCACCTTGGGCGTAATGTTTTTTACCTTTTTAAACCACGTGTCATTCTCTTGAGGATGAGGCCCCGTCCACACTATGCCGGATAAATTTAAATCCGAATTTTTATTTATTTGGTTAGGCCTACCGTCCACACTAGTCCGGGCAGATCCGGAACAATTCTTCACCGAAAACGAATTTTTTCGAATACGGTCTCCAGAGTGGAACAATTTGAAAACGCCGGCTAGCCGTATTAGTGTGGACGGAGAACATTTCGTATCCGGAAATTTTCGAATACGATGACGTCATGATTGTCATGGAAACATGGCGGGAAGGCTAAAAATTTACCGCGGGCTCAATTTCAGCTTAGTCGATGCACATGCTCAGATGTGCAATGAAGCGTTTTTTTGCCGCCTCTGATCGGACTGGTGTTGACGCGAAATATTTTATCCGTTTTCATGTGTGGACGGAAAACATTTTTTTCGGTTTCGGTGTGAAAGTTGCGGATTCAAATTTATTCGGCATAGTGTGGACGGGGCGTAAGGTTCTTTGTTTGAGTTGTATCCATATTCATATGTCTTCTCAGGCGCATACCGTTACTCTAGGGAATGACGTGGTTTCAAATCGAAAGAACATTACGACCAAGCTAAAAATAAGGAGAAAAAACAAGACAGGCCGGCTGCTATTTTACGTTGTCTGATTCGAGTCATTGCGAAGGTCTAACCATTTGCAGATATTTTTATAGCAAAGTCATGATCTTTTAATCAGATATTTTAACACCTTGTGTGTCTTAGAAATTAGCCGTTGCTATATAGTTTTTGTGAGGTGAGAGGCGAGTGTCCTACCGCTATACAACCAGGTATATATACATACCGTAGTGCTGCAGTCCAAACATGTTATACCCTTTGTACAACGCTTCTTGTGCACAAATACAGATCAGGTTAATCATGTAACTATCAGGGTCTGGTTCATTCACTTTTACTCCAGAGAAATACGGGCTTGTTTCATTAACGTTAGTGAAAAGCATCTTGGGCAGTGGACGTGGAACCTGCTGGTCGTCAGTAAAGCATCCCACTTTTTCCAGTTCCATTGCATCGCATTCTGTGGAAACAGATAAATCCATCATTTTTGTCATTGAACTGGGAGTGATTTTCCCTTTTTTCACTGCATACCCGCCGCGTGAGACTTAAAATGCCCTATTATGGTAAAGCATTGGCTGTTCGATGAACCACGTCTCATTCTCTTGAGAATAAGATTCTTTGTTTGTATATCCATTCGTATCCGTTAAACAAAGAAATTATACTCTAGGAAATGACACGTGGTCTGAAATGGGATAACCTTACCCCTGTTCCATTTCTTTGTGTCATTGGTAAATAATCAGTGGTTAATGAGTCTATATAATCACATGTATAATTACTCACCTACTGGTTCTCCTGCGTAACGTATGGCAGACGTTTGATCTAAAAAATAGAGATAGATAAACAACAATAGAAGTCTCACTGAATCCTAACGGTTACCATCCCATTATTAGAGACCCTTAGCATCGTGTTTACCGCTAACCGTTACCACTAGGGGTGAGGCCAAGAAACAGGCCCACAAACACGGAGAAACACTCTTCCAGCAACAACTTCGTTATGACGCCTTGCTTAATCTTGAAATTTTGATGGAAAACGCCTGACGTGGACCTGAAGTTTGAGGTTTGCAAGAATGTCATGCTGAAGGTCTCTAATATTATCATTATTAAATCCATTTTCATAATCACCAACCAACACGCAAGACTAACACGCCCTGTGCTTAGAAAAATATAGTAAGGATTTTTGTTTTTCCAAATGTATCCGGATATTTTTGAAAACGGGTTTTTTTCGTCGTACATTGGCCTTGGAAACGCAACTTTTTAAAAAAAGAGATACGTGTTGTGTGGATGGGCCAAAACGAATCAAAAACGCTTACAAAAATCCGTTTTCAAAAATATTTGGATACATGGGGACGTGGTCTTAGCCCGGTGGGTATATGAAAGGGAACAAATTTTTCTAAACAGTTGATTGGAGAACTTATAACCGTGGGTTTATATCCGGATGGGGGCTTGTAAACGGGAAATTAGTATCGTGAAAATGCGGGGAAAATATAAAATTTCTTATCTGTAACAGTTAAACATGCATTACAAATTACCCGTCAAAAATAGAAACAAAGATAAAACCACCAAGAAAACCAAACCATATCGCCAAGAACCATCCATTACTCGTTGAGTTGCGTTCGTTATTGTTGGTGAAAATATTCTGAGGAAGAAGGATTCTATAAAATGTCACAACCATTTACACAAAACCTTACAAAATCCATGTTAATGTTTATCAATTATTCTTATTACAGTAGAAAAATATAGCACTGGAAATACTTTATCGAGTCTTTATCAAGTAAATGATTGTTAAACTTGTGGGATTTTATTTGGCCCTTGAAACAAACTCGTATAATTAGTTAGTAACAGTCAAAGTAAAAAGAAAACTGTGTGTCTATACTACAATGTATTACGATGACTATTCTTTCACAGGCGAAGGAAAATCTCTTTGTCCAGTATGCGATTTATTTTTGTAGTTATGTAATATTCAACTGGATGGCTGATAATTTTAATTTATATGATTATTTTTATTGTTTCAGACAGAATTACATTCAGACGAACTAACGGTTACTTTTCAACGGGATCACGACAACACCCCGCTGTGTCCTAAGGCAAGAGATGTAATACTCCTATTAATATGTGATTAAAAATTAAAAATGGCTATGTTGCTGGGCTTCTTCATAGTTGAGAAAATAATCTTATCAACAGTAAAAATATATATCAGAAAAGGAAAAATCTTTGCTAATAAATGTATTTATTACATTACATTACAATTATTACGTTTATTAGTAAAGATTTTTTTCTTTTCTGATATAGAACCCTTGCATTGATTTCCTAGAGGAATTCTTCTGAGGGATAAAAAAATAGGCCGTCTTCTCTTATGCAAAAAAAGTCTATTGTTTTGTCCCCCAGAACCAAATTCCTCTCGTGACTCATTGCAAGGGATCTATATTAATTTGCTGGCCATAACATATTTTTCTCAACTGAGACCTTGCCCTGTGTAATGAGACTTAAAACTGGTGACCACGAATGAAAACTCTACGTTAGATCTTTCTTAATTTAGTATCAAAAATATGTTTTAAAACCATTATATATACCTTATTTGTTGAGCAAGTAAGTCTTGATCCAACTCTCGCCTTCCTCTAAGAGACTCGTGGCATTTTTCAGCGTCTGTAGCACAGAATTTACCCTTTTTTTTTCTATTCTTATAGTCAGACAAAATTGGAATGGGACTTACCATTTTTACGCCTGTCTAAATGAAGTGTCAACTCTTATTAATATTAAATGAATATTATCAAAATAATAGTTAATTAAGGTTAATCCTAACAAGACAAAAACAAGGCAATGATTTTAAATCTATAGTCATATAGAGTCATATACGCCAAAAGACATGTTATCAAACGTTGTATTCGTTTTTCTACTCATATATTTTTGTCCAAGCAGCTTAATGTTTAGCATCATGTTTAGAAAAAAAATTTTTTTGACCTGTTAAGAGTTTAGGTGTTCGTACTCAGAGTTCGTTTGCGTCATGCCGGGCTCTTAGTAGAACCATTGATGGTCGATAAAAAACTCTCAGACAGCGCAAAGATAGAAACACTCAGATATATGTTTCATGGATTTACCGTGTATTACCGGTTTAGCTCAAGATTGATAGCTCTTCATTTAAAAACTATCATTATAATACGATTAGAAATTAAAATCGCAGTCAGCAAAGAACAAAACTTATCGTAATGGAGTCTGCAAAGACAAGACGAACAAACACATATACGAACATTCAACGCGGCTTTTCAAACTTTCAGTTTTAGTGATCTTTGATGGCCTTTTTATATACATTTTTTTCCATGGCGGACCGAGATCATGTTTCGTGCGAAATTTTGTTTGTTTAAGTTTTGAGGTGGCAGGTTGGTCACGTCCACAAGGTAAAGCCCCTAAACAACCACGTTTAAATCACGAAAAAAATTCTTTGTTTTTTTTCAGTTCTACCAGTTCTAGTTTTAATAATCTTCAATTTAAAAAAGCAATCTTTCTAAAACGAATTCCAATCAAATTAAAGTATTATATCTCAGGAAGTTCAAGATAAAAAAGCGTTTTAGTATTACTTCCGATCTGGCAAACTCTTATCGTCTCAGACTTACCGGTCGCTCGACAAATCACAGCGCGAGAAACTCTATAGTCAAATCTAAAATTATACTAAATACAGTCATCTTCGAACTTGTTGGATTTTTTTGGACCGATAAAGGCATTTGAGTCATTAATCTATGTCATGGAGCAAAATAATAGGATTTTTCTAGTTTAGGAACGACCCTTTGTCATACAAATACATTGGCCTCGCTATGAAGCCCACCTTTTTTTCCTGTTTTTTTTTTTTAATTTAAATTTTTATTTCGTTCCTGCTCATGCTTTAAAAAACACTTTAAACCTGAAGTTATAAATAGCGTTTAATTTTTTATTTTTCTCGTGTTTACAGAATTATGAATTTGATTATGATTATATATATAGCGCTCTTTTCCACATGGATATGTTCTAAGGCGTTTTACAATGAGTTATGGACTACTTCGAAAATGCCGCGGCCATCTTGAATCACAAGGCATCATCGGCCGTCCTGGGAGCAAATATACAAAGCTTTGTTACAATAATGGCGTAGAGTTGACATTAACGGTTCACAACAAGACAATTTGACAAGAGATGAATTAAAATAAATGAACAGTTGCACAACTTAGGAAATTTCTCAAATATCGTGGGTTGTCATTTCGACATCTTTGTTTTGTTTTACCCCCAGGGCGACCCATGATGCCTTGCGATTCAAGATGGCCGCCACATCGTTGAAGTAGTCCATTACGTTAATAACGGCAATCGCTATTTCCAGGAGTTACAACAGCTTAGAGTGCACTGTGGAGCGCACTGAACAGGGCATTGCGCCTGAGGACATCCATTAGGTACTGCAGGATATACAACAGGTTGTTGCAGACATGGAGGGTATTGACACGGATACTGTGGCTGACTCTGTTGTCCCGTGTTTGAACAACTAGATGTTTGACATGGATTTGATGAAGTAGGCTGGGTGTTAGGTCTTTTTGGTGTACTTGTGGCTGACCCGGAAGGCGTGGGAGAAGGAGAAGAAGAAGGAGTAGGCGAAGGCGAAGGTGAACGAGTTGGTGATGGAGTTGGTGAAGGAGTTGGTGATGGAGTTGGAGATGGAGTTGGTGATGGAGTCTTTGAAGGAGTAGGTTTTTTTGGTGTAGTTGTACGTTTGGTCGTGGTTTTTTTCGTGGTTGGTTTCCTCGTTGGTGAACCAGTAGTTGTATCTGTTAAATATTATTCAACTAAAATAAATACTTGATGCTATCATTATTATAATAGATATTACATCGTGTGTCCGGTGTGCGCTGCTAGTGACCTGCCTCTTACCGCTGTTGTCATGGATTCAGGAATCCCCAAACCCGCTTTCATATAGACCCCTTGGATGTGACGTCAAAGCAGCTCGATCTTGGGGACAAACAAGAGAATTCCAATCTCCTGAGAGTTGGAACCTATTGTTTTGTCCCCAGATTGAGCTGCATTCCAACGTGCTGCAAGGGGTCTATACCCTTTGAAAGAGAGATAAATTAACCATCTTTCTCTAACGGTTATTTTTTACCTTTCTTAACTTCGTATACAAAATTAGTTTTATCTTCGCCAATACAATCAAGACCTGCTTTACATGGTTCGCCACTGAAAGTAATACAGTGCTTGGATGGACCGTCACGTGCGTATCTTGATGTAGCACTGTTTGGTCCCGACCAGCATTCCCCTGGTGAGCCAAACAATAATGTGGTCAGTCAAACATGTAAGTGTACTAACACTCTAGACAGACACTGTAGTCACACAGAAAGATAGATAGACAGACGGACGGACGGACAGACAGACATACAGACGGAAAGACTGATTGAAGGACATACATTAGACTGATGTAGAGTCAGAGAACATGACAGACTGTCAGACAGACAGACAAATAGAAAGACAGACTGTCAGACAGACAAACAGACAGAAACTCAGGCAGACAGAGATACAAACCGAAAGACAGACAGACATACTCTTACCATAATATTGCAATCCAATCTTATTATAACCTTTCGACAGAGACTTTGCAGCACATCTACAGATAAGATCTACCATGTACTCATTCCACCTTCTCCAATTGATGAGGACGCCGCTATAAACAGGGCTAGTCGCGTCACGATCGGTAAACATCAGCTGTGGTAAGGGTCGAGGTTTCTTCATGCTGTCCTTGTAGCAACCAACCTTGGTGAGTTTGATTCCCTTGCATGCTAAAAATATATAATTATATATATATATAAAATAAAAGAGTATTTATGTAGCGCATCCTGAGAGCCTCGATGCGCTTTAAAGTAAGATAATTAAAGATAAAATTATATCTATTATATCTATAAATATATACTAGTATGATGATAATGATATCGATATAGAAATAAAGTATATAATATAAGAAAAAATGAAAGATGAAGCTATGCCTCTCTCAAGTCCATCCAGTGCAAAGGAGAGAGCTTGAGGGAGCCACAGCTCACACTTTCCAAGAAACATAGACAACGATAAGTAAAAATAGTTTATATATACAAAAATAAAAAATAAACACAAAAATCTTTCTACTAAACAGATACTAATTAAGCAGTTATTACTTAGACGTTAATGACCGAGCTTTCGGGCTCAAAGACCATCATCAACTGAGGCAGAGTACAATGTAGGATCGTGCTAGTGTTTTGTTATTTCTAGTTTGCGCGCCCTGGTTGTTTATTTGTAAACCCTTTTTAAAAGTACCGTTGGACGTTGAGCCCACAAGCTCGGTTAATAAATATCTATAATCAGCGAGGTTGTTGAGACGTGTAAACGATAATCATGATACCAACCGATAAAGAAACAATTAACCAGTTCACAATCATAAGGCCAGATATGATTGTCACAGTCATACAAACAACTTATCAACCCAAGATGTCTGGGTTTTTGTCTTCCGTAAATCAAAAAGTACTCAGACCGCTGGAAATTCCGTTGACTGAAGCGAAAAGTAAGTCTGGGAGTGTAATGGCCGCGTTATATAAAATTGATATAGTCTTACCTACAACTTTCGAGTTTGTTGGAAGACAGCAAGCTAGATCTGAAATCGATGAAAGTTATAAAACATAACGCATAAGATTGACATAACATTAGCTAAACCATGCACCATCAGTTGATGAACTAATTCTTGGTATTCATTCGTTGCACTGACAATTATTGTAAAAACAAAACCATGGCAACCATGTTGGTGTACATAACAAGAGAAGCGAAAGAGAAATCTCTTGTTAACTGTACACCAACATGGCGGTGATGACGTCACATA